TCCACCCGTATTTTAAGAGCCCCTGCACGCATCCTCCCCCAGCAGCAACAGGCTGCTGACCTTCAGGCACAAAAACTTGCTCATCCCGCTGCCTTGGTGATTTTTCACCCATTTTGGGATTTTGTTTGCTGGTTGGTGTTTTGCTGGTGTTTTGGTTTTTTTTTTTTCAGTGCAACCTTACTTTTTCAGAGTGAGATGGTTTGTCCATTCAAAACACCCGGTAGCGTTTGGAATAACCAGTTTTGGGGACCCTCTCTCTGCCTGCCGAGCCAAGATTTTTCCATCTTCAGAAGATCACAGAGGCAGCAGGATCGGGCCCAATTTCATTTGGGAAACACCGCCCGATAAACGCTCATCTTTTTTTCCAAGGATTTTGCCTCTTTCCCTCAAAACTGGTGGAAATAAATAGGGAGAGATCAAAATATAGGCTGTCTCTTAAAAAAAAATATTGTTGCTATTGTTACAGGGATAAAGACACGTACATGAGCGCACGTGTGGAGGAGAAAAATAACTAATTGTGACTTTATAATACTTAGATTCAATTCCACTGTCCACTGCCTTAAGTTTTAGTGCTTTAAAAAATTTTATGCGCATGTATAATGTATTACATAATACACCATGGCTGTTCTATACAACATATGCGTTTGTATTCAGTAATAGAGGGCAATTTTCAGTTAAGGAATTGTATTATTAATAAGGGTGATATAGTGCCCATCATGGTGATATTTTTACTATTATTACTGCATTATTTACAATTTAAAATACACTGCTTGGAGATTGGGGGGGGTGGGGGGGTGGGGTAATAATCAGTTGTGTATTTGAGCTTGATCTTGCTCAAAGATTAGAAACCCTGATTCTTGTGGGTTTCATCTCAAATCCCAGACTGACTGGTGACAATTAAATTAGGCGGGAGAGCAGAAGGTGACTTGAAACCTGCAGGGGGGAACAAAGCCCTGGGCCAACCTTCCCCGCCAGCCGAGCCGAGGTGAGAAATGCAACCGCTTGCAAAATGGGGGAAGTAGGGTCCTGTGCAAATTACAGACACGTCCTACGGCCCCATCCCTCTGTCCTACGACCCCATCCTTTCATCCTACAGCCCCATCCCTCCATCCTACGGCCCCATCCCTCCATCCTACAGCCCCATCCCTCCATCCTACAGCCCCATCCCTCCATCCTACGGCCCTGTCCCTCCACCCTACAGCTCCATCCCTCCATCCTACGGCCCCATCCCTCCATCCTACAGCCCCATCCCTCCATCCTACGGCCCCATCCCTCCATCCTACGGCCCCATCCCTGCAAGGGCAGGGACAGCAGAGATGCTGGGCTCCCCCCATCACCCACTGCCCCATGGGGAGCAGCCACCTCATCCTTAGGTGTGTGGGGAAGGTCAGGAGCTGCTTGTAGGGCAGAGGATTGTAACAAATGCCGATGAGTCACTGGAAATGCCGGCCTGGGGACGCTACAGGGCAAATCTCTTAGCATCCCTATGGGAAAGCTTAAGATCTGGTTCACAATCTCTCCCCCACCAGCAGTGGAGAAGAAATTTTCCAACCAAGCGTCTGCTCCAGGCTTTGATCTTCCCAGATGCTGCTGCTCTGTTCAAACCGTGCCTGTTCGGGGAACCCTGACTTCGATTTAGTCCAAAAAAAAAAAAAAGCAAAGCACCCATCAGAAATGCCCACAGCCCCTCTCCCTGATTTTTCTCCCAGCCACATCAACCTCCTCAGTGACACAGTGAAAGAAAAACCTCACTGCTTTTTTTGCAAAAAGGAAAAATTACAGCGGGTGGGGTTGGCAAACCGGGATCTAGCCCTTCATCCCCAGCCTGGAGACAGCAGCAGCGGGCTGGGTGCGCTCGGGCTCCCGGGACGCCCTTGATCCCCGCTCCTCTCTGCCTGGGGAAGGGGGAAGGGGCAAGCTGCTAATTTTAGGACAGTTTTCAAGAGGTTTTTGGCTCTGGCAGGGAAGTGTCCTGAAAGGGGACTTTGCAGCGAGTCCTTTTCATGCCTCATTAAGTCGGGAATTCACTGTAACGCCATCCCAGGGAATGCCTGGAGCAAGTTCATGGCCTCGGCCCTGCTGGGTCTGATCCTGCCCTTCAGGACAATGAAATAATTTGCCAAACTTTGTCTGAAAAGCCCAAATTCGGCATTTTGAACTCAGACCAGGGAAAGTTTTTCAAATAGGCCCATGTGATTTACGTACTCATCCTTCCCGCTTTGTACCACAAGGCTGCATTGGCACGTTTTAAGCAGGCCAAAATTCCTCTTCTTAGAATAAATTAGTAGAAATAAAGATCTTATTGCTTTTTCCATTTTCTGTCACCTTTGTATACAGTTTCACTGAACTTCTTTCCCCAGTGCATTGCTTTACAGCGGGGAAAAATGCCATGTCGAATTGTACAGACTGCATGTCTGTGCCTTCATATACAGCTACACCTGAATAGACTTGATTTCATTATTAAAAAATTATAATAATTAATATTCTAATGATCCCAGGCATGCTCTGCAATTAGCTCCATCCAAAGGTGACAGTTCTCCAGGAACATAAATCACTGGAGGGAAATGAGAGCGCTGCAAACATCACTTACAGCCTTGTGAAGGATTTTACTTCCACCCTGGGATTCCTCATTGTGCAGGGAATAAAAATATCTTTAGTCTTAAGGAAAGGCAAAGGAAGGAGTGTGGGCTTCACCGTGCCAGGGACTGCTTGGACGCCGAGCCAGGCTCAGATGCATTATTAAAGCGGGTCTGTGATGGGTGCAATCCACGATGGTGTTTCCCTCCCACTAAATCTTTCAGCGCCTTCAGGTTTTTTAGCCCATCAGGACTTTTCATCCTTTCTCATTGAAAAAAGAAAAACACCTTGAAATGACCAGCTAACCTTGACATGCTTCACACAACCCCCTCGATACCCACAGCTTGGGCAAAGCATCGCCCCGGTGTCGAGAGGGACCCGGCTGGGAGCAGCCCGACAGCGGCCACGTCCCCACTCGGGAGAAGAGGGAAAAGGGCAGGTCTGGACCTTAATCTACTTACCGGGGGAGCTGCCTTCTGAAAAATCCATTTTATTCCCGGATTTCAGGTGGTTTCTTTTCTTGTTTTGGTTTGTTTTTTTTTTTTTAGCCAAAACCTAACCACTTTTTATATAATACCCCAGCACTTTTTTTCACACTCAGGGCAGAGACATAATTAAACCCACACTAAAATCAATACCATGGTTTCTCCTGCAGTGCCCTCGGCAATGCCCTCGGCGATACTGTGAATCCCTCACCCGAATCAGGACCTGGTGATGGAAAAGGGTCCCGTCTCCTTCCTCCTTCCTTAGCGACCACTAATGTTTTCTGGACTGGCTCAATGCATGCCATCTTCCCGGTGTTATTTAAAAGCCCGGATAATAACCACTTTTTGCCACCAAAAGGCAGGCTGCGAGACCTGCAATGCAAACTGCTGCTCAAGGCAGGGCTTGAAACCCCCAAATCACTACACTCAATCTCTGGCACCTCAAAAGCTGCCGGGTATTTCTGCAACTCCAATTCATCATTTGCATTATTTTGGTTTTAAGCTATTTTTATTACTAAGAGGCCTTTTGAGACTACTGCAAAAAGGTGATTTTCTTTCCCCCCCCCAAGGAAGAGATGGCACGGTAGTCAAATACAAATGTGCATATGTCCTTGTTGTTAATATTCAATTATTATTCACATAATCCTGCTTTTTTCCTATTCTTCCTATCCTCTCATGGCTTCCCAAAAACATTGCCTGGTGGGCCAAAACCATCCTTAAAGATAATCTGTTCCCCATTTTAAGCGATTTCATAATGCCCAAAGAAAAGCAAAACGCATTGGCAAGGCCAAGCCTGCACTGACGCCCAACTTTCCTTTCTTTAACATCTTAAAATCATGTTAAAGATAAAGCAAATCTTGCTAGACATGATGGAAAAATTGCCCTCCGAAATTCAGGTTAAAGAACGCAATCTTAAAATGTATCTGCAGACAAATTTGAGTCATTTTCTTTGTTAACCCTGACCCCGAAGCCAACAGAAGTACCTTCCTGGAGAGAAGGCGGGGAGGAAAACAGGAGTTATGAAACCACGATGCAAAGATGTACCCCGCATTTCTCTCTACCTTTCTCCCTCTTCTGACATACAAAATATAAAAGTAATGTTTTAAGCCAATTTCTGGTTGTAGGACCCAGGGGCGTTTAATGAAATGAAAGGCTCCGGGATCGGGATCAGCACAAGAGATAAGGGGTAAAATTTTGGGGGGCAAGGAGACACTAAAATACGGGGCTGGTTTGTTTGGCTGTGCCTGTGAGTCCCCCCAAAAGTCCGATAATAAATGTGGATGCATTTCTTTTTCTCTTTCTTCAACATCTCTCCCCCCTCAGCACCAATTTTCCCTTCGCTTTCCCTTTTTCTAGCCTAACCAACCCTTCTAAAAATTAAAAAAAAAAACTCGTAACATAAAGTAGCCCAAAGTGAAGGTCTGGGATTCACAGGCCAAACTTTGATTTCCTCGTTTTCCAAATAAATTGTCCCCATTTTCCACCTAAAGCAAGCCGGGGAAGGGGCTGCCTGCACACCCGCGGAGCATCGTGTCCTGCACACCGTGCTCACCCCCGTCGCAGCCCCCAAATCCCCTCGGAGCTATTTGTGGAGCCAGCAAACCCTTTCCCAAGAGCTCGACACATCATTTCTTACTGCTTCAGGCCTATCCTAAATTACGCTTATTTTTTAGCAACTGTGGTCCGTGAGGCTATTTTAAAATGGTGGGTTTGGAGACAAAGTGTATGCGCAAGGCGGGGGGGGGTGGCGGACAACCCCAGCACCATGGGGACCCCCATGTTTCGCAGCGGCTCTGGCAGCAACGTCCCAAATATGCCGAATTTCTCCGTCCTGCCCTTCGCGCCTCCTCGCCCTACTCAAATAGGGGTGCATGCAGAAAAATTTGGGGGTGTGCGGTGAAACCCTCCCTCCCCTATCCCAGCGGTGGCTGCGCTCACCTATGTTGGCGTGTCGGGCGGCTGCGGGCGTCCCTCGGCTCTGCAGGTTGTGCAGCATGGGGCTGTCGAAGGGCGAGGAAGTCCAGGTCGTGGCCATTTCGGGGCTCATATAAGCCGGGTAGGGGCTGGAATAGGAGCTGCCAAACCCCCTGCTGTACTGCTCCCTCCCGTTAGCAGAAAGGTTCAAGGAGCTGCCGTAAGCCGCCGCGGCTTCCCGGGAAGAGGTGGCAGGGATGGGGGTGCTGGTGGAGAAGGAGAACCGAGGTGACACAGAAGGGTGAGAAGATCCGGGGTTGTAAGCGGCGCTTTCGGCTCCGGGTTGAGTCCAGATGGAGTGGCTGGAGACGGGGCTGCCTTGCTGGGAAGAGCCGCTGCTCTGGAGGTACGGCAGGCTGGGGAGCATGGAGGTGACCCTCGTGGTGGGCACATAGACGGGGGACGCTGCGGCCGCGCTGTGCATGAAGCCACCTGCCCCCTCGTACGCCGGAGGGCCGGGGTTAGCTGCCATGGCTAAACTCTGGTACATCTCGTGATGGGCCTCCCCAAACCCCAGCCGGGTCCCCGGCCACAATCCAGAGCGACGGGGAGTGGGTGAAAAACCCCAGGCTCCACTTTCCCCTGCGGTGAGCGGTGGCCGGAGCGGTCTCGCGTGGGTGCAGCCTTCCAGCCAAAACCAAACCACCACCAGAGATGCAATTTTTCTCCACCACCCCCCTCCCCACCCTTCCCCACCACCCACCTTCCCCCACCTTCAGCAGGTCCGGCCACCGCTTCGACACCCCAAGGAAGAAGTCCAGGTCCCTCCGGAGGAGAGATTTAGCTCCCGCCTGGATTTAGCTTCTCCCACCGGGCTCCATCCATC